ACCGCTCCAGCTTTCCAAATGATAAAATACTGAAATTTATTACATAAAGATAACTGACAAGAAAAAATTTAAATCAAACATAAAAACAACCTCTTCAAAATAGAAATGTTATAACAGGTAAATCAGCGTATATACATTTTTGCATTAAAACGCAAAAATAAATTTTTTGTTTTTTTTTTCCTCTGCTGTTTTCGTTCGTTTATCTTGTATTTTTTTCTCGCACTTCAAAAAGGCCAACGGGCCACAGTGTCTTTTGAGATTAAAGATTAAAGAGAATCACTATTTTCAAGTTCTACATAAATTCCTTGTTCTGTCAGTTTTTGAAGATCGTCGTTGGCAAGGCTCTCGCCACAAACCTGCAGTAATAACTCCTCAATATCCAGCTCATTTACATCTAGTCTTCCTGTATTGATTAGGTTGACGATTTGGTTTGACAATGACGTTTGGAACGTCGAGCATGATTCCTCTGACGTTTCAAACGCCATTGTCAAACGTCCAGGCTTTTTCGGTGGATCGTTATTCGGATAATCGATGCTCTACTGTATTAACTTTAAAGCTTTTCTAATGTACATAGAAATGAGAAAATACTTACGTGAAGCTTTCAAGTCAATCAAAAACCTTAATAAATATAGAAGAAATGCCTCCCTAAATTACAACTTTAAACAACTTCCCAAAGTTTCACGGCAATCGGATAAACGGTGTGGTAATGCATGAAGGACACACATACATTCATTTTTATATATATAGATAATATGTAGCCAAGCCAAATTTATGTAGCCTAAAAGTGCGCCCAACTTAAAAAGGGTAGCCAAATTTGGCGCAAAGTCGCCAAATCTGGCAACTTGACACATCCGGACGAAACGAAAAGAAAAAAAATGATAGGAATGCCAAAAATGCGAGTTATATTTTACTTTTGTGTTATTATTTATATTTATTTATTTAAACAGTTATCCTCCATATGTCACGTAGCTTGTCAAAATCACTGTTGCCAGATAGAATAATTGAAAACTCACCAAATATCGACTTTGAAGTGTTGCCAAATTTTCGCTAGTTTGGATAATATTAATTTCATTTGTTTTAAGCATCAAATAAATAGGAAAAATGCAACGTTTTCATAAAATGCAATTGTTTTAACGCGGTTTTATGGGAATACGTACTACTAATAAAATGGCATTTTATGAAAAACGAAAACATTTTGACGTGACTTATCTTTTTAGTTTATGACTTTATGTTATGAAATAAGTATAGTTATATGCTGCTTATCTGCGCGATTTGCTAGTTATGGCTCCGAGCTGAAACGCATGACAGAATAAAGAACAAACAACTGTAGGCTTCTGAATCTTAGCTGTAGGCTGTTATAATAAGATACCGTAATTTAGTGTAAATAGAAACACCATTCTGTCTAAATGATACGTAACTCCAATAACATTTATGTTGTGACCCCATAAATTACCTTAAAAAATCAATTTTATCCTCTTTAATATAATAATCTATTAAAAGTGAGTTTACATTATCTGATGATGCAAGGACGATAAGGATTGGAGACTCACAGTAATAAAAATAAAACGTAAACACGACATAGAGAACATGGTTGCAACCAGTAGCTGATATTTTTCTTTTTCAGCCAGAATTTTTAGCTACAGTCAACGTGTAAAAAAGTAACGGTAGCTTAAGTTTACGTGATGAAAGAGAAAGTATATACTGTACAATAGAACTTATCCAAATTATTTGTATCCAAGAATTGTCTAAGTTAAAGGTACCACAAAAAAAAATAATAAAAAATAATAATCGATTACCCAAAAATTTGATTTAGGAAAGTTTGAATACTGCAATAAAATATGTAAATAAAATAACAAAACTAACAGTAAATTAATAATTTATTACAATATTCATTACAATTACAATAGAATACTGTATAGTATCATGTGTAGGCATTAGTATTTTATTAATTACTTTTTTTTTAATAGAAAGCTTGAAATTTTGGATTATTTTTTTTCTTGAATATACTGTATTTTGCTTGTTAAAGTGAATACTCTAAATTTAATGAAGGCCTAAAAGCCCTTCACTTAATTTGCTGAACAGATAAACGTATCTTATAGCTAAAAAAATTTTTTAAGAAATGCGCTAAATCCTGAAATATGGAATTTCCGTATTAACGCTACTAACACTTAATGCCTAAACACACATTTTATGGATATAATATGCTAGTTACTATTTTGAAAAAAAAAATTACGTTAAACTTTATTCATAATCCGATAATTACTGTGTTTGTTTGAAAAATTCGTAAAAATTTTAAAACAAATTAAACATCGCAATACCAATTTTAGTTATCAATTTATAATGGAACCTTTTAACAGGATACAACGTTACAATCGCGACAATAGCGATTGTAACATTCATTACTTCCGCCGGTTTGTAAGATTAAGCTAGAATAGGAAATATCGCTAGATATGATTAACTAGTTACTTTTTCTTTTTAAAAGTTTATATAAATATTTTTTAATAGTATAAAATTATGTCCCACTCGTAATATTTTTCTAGCTTATATATTTTCATCCAGAAATATGATGATAAAATGATTTATTATTTAATATAATTTAAATAATTTATACAATAATACAATTTATTAAAATATTTTTATTTATTAACGAGAGTAATTTTTTTTAGAATAGAAATGAGAAAATTGTTTTGTATTTTTGGTATGTTATTCCGATGGTGTCGTCACCGTACGGCTAGCTCTTGAATGGCAGGTGGGGGTCTTCGTTGAAAGCGAAAAATGCTCTACTTATGTACTTGTTAACTTTTTTCACTTTAAACATTTTTAACAAATAGTTAATCAATAAGGAATATCTCACGATGTCAAACCCCAAAATGGGTGAGTAACTTTCTGTTGATTTATCCATAAAGTAAAAAAACGTGGGAACAGTTACGTATATTCTATACTCCTATGAACCGTAACATTTAAATGACGTCATTCGAGTTAAGAAGTGATAGGATTGGTAGCATATGAAATCTCGTCATTTTCAATTTAGGGTCAGGTGGAGTACTTATTGGGAGTGATCAGCTTTGAATATGCATATATTTTTATTTGAATTTTAAACTAAATAAAAAAATTACTACAAAAATTATAAATTACTTAATATTCCTTTCATAAATCTCAGATTTTCTGCGATAAGATTTTATATATGAATGCTTATATTAAAGTATTATTAATATAATAGAAAAATTAAATTGTTTTTCTATTTGTAAAAAAACTTTAAAGTAAAAAGTTTTGATCATATGGAGAGATGATCTCAAGGATGTAGTTTTATTAGGATCATGCTGACTTGTAGTTCCTAGTTTCTGTTTCCAACATTATTTGATTTGATTAACTTAACAAAAGAAACTTTTTTTACTTGAACTTTAATATGGAAGAAATAATATATCTAAATTGATAATTTATATATATATGTATAGTTAAATAAAACAATATATAATTTAATATATAATGACAGAATAATATATATTTATAAAAATTTATATTCTGCTATTATAATATAATTCATCAAAAAATATAAAAATTGTTATTAATAATTGCAATATTACATTTAAAAAGATTTACAAAAATGATTGTGATTATAAAAACATTATACAATAGGTTTGCTATAGTATACAGAAGATAAATAAATACAGAGATGATAAATCTGATAAATTGGAATATTTTTTTCAAATATTTGACATTTAGTACAAAAAACACATCATCATCATCATCACTTTAAAACTTTTCAATTTTATTTAAAATATTTTTTGACATTTCTATTATATTTACTGCCCTAAAATTGATAATATTGTTGTGATAATTAACAAAAATTAATTTTTTCTTATTTATTACCAAAATTTAGAGAGAACTTTATAAAATTTATCAATAGATCATATTATTATTCATTGATTTTGTCTACTGTCATTTGTCTGCGTTTCATTTTTTTTTCTAAAATATTATATATTTTCATGAGAGTTTCTTCTAATAGATTTTGAATCGAAAATGCTTAAGTATCAAGCATTTATAGAACTTAACAAGAACATTTGATTAAGATACAGATATCCCCCATATAACATAGTAGTTAGCACAACACTTTTTCAGAACCTATGTAATCCAAGCTGTACAAAACAAAGGACAAGCAAAATGCGTAGTTTGTATACTTTTGCTAACTTTTGGAATCCATTTTTTTGTAATTAAGAGAAGTATATTTATTAAAGCAATCAATTAACTAACAGTCACAATGAAAAGTATTACACATTAATATTAATTTTTTCTTCACTGCTAAACACTGTTAAATGAGGAGGTTTTCTTTTTGGCAAAATATCGTATTCTGAGCTTTCCTGTTGACCTTAGTCTCAAGTATCGGCAACGTCTTAATTTTTCTCTACTTTTTTTATAAAATCTGATATTTTCATTTGCTCGAGTTTGCCTAAGAGATCTTTAAAAGTTTAATCTTTTTATGTAGTAACTTTTAATTTAATCTATAAAACAAAACACAGCACAGTCTTTTGGGTTCATTTAGAGCACTATCACCAATGACAGCAACAGCTGATTTATCAGAAAGCTAGGATAAGGAAGAAGAAAAATTATACCATCAGTTCTCACTAAAGAAAACTGAGAAAAAAGGCAAGAAACAACATTGAAAATTTTAATCTTCTGAAATTCATGGGCAAATATGAGACATCACACATGTTTAAACGCTTGAGTAAAAAAAATATCAAATGATGGTGTTTGTACTTAAAAATTGTGATGTTTTGTATGGAGATGTGTCTAATTCTCGAATGTCTTAGAGTGAAACTTTGTTGTAGGAATGTTGTGTTATATGACGGATATATATATTATATTGAATAATAGATTTGTCAAAGTGGTAAAGTAAGCTTGTATTTAAATAATTAATGTATAATAATGTAATATAATAGAAATGAGAAAATTGTTTTGTATTTTTGGTATGTTATTCCGATGGTGTCGTCACCGTACGGCTAGCTCTTGAATGGCAGGTGGGGGTCTTCGTTGAAAGCGAAAAATGCTCTACTTATGTACTTGTTAACTTTTTTCACTTTAAACATTTTTAACAAATAGTTAATCAATAAGGAATATCTCACGATGTCAAACCCCAAAATGGGTGAGTAACTTTCTGTTGATTTATCCATAAAGTAAAAAAACGTGGGAACAGTTACGTATATTCTATACTCCTATGAACCGTAACATTTAAATGACGTCATTCGAGTTAAGAAGTGATAGGATTGGTAGCATATGAAATCTCGTCATTTTCAATTTAGGGTCAGGTGGAGTACTTATTGGGAGTGATCAGCTTTGAATATGCATATATTTTTATTTGAATTTTNTTCAAATTTATCTTTTTTATAAATAAAATTTATTTTCTCATTTTTATGAATTATTATTCCTAAACTTATAGTTATAATACAACATTAATTTCCATTGGTAATTGAAGCTGCCAGTTCTTGTTTTTACTGGACTAGTTTTATGCAAAGTAGAAATTAGCTTATAAACAAAATTTGCTATAAGTTAACTTTTGATTGACAGTCCAGTAAAAAATTGTTTTAGTTGTTTTGTTATATTTGAGTTTATTTTGTTTTAAATATTAAAAATTTAATGAATTTTAATTGTTGCATGATATTTCATATCAGAAATTATTAGATTTTTAAAGGTAACTGGTTGTTTACTTTTCAAAATATTTATTTTTAAATAATTATGTTTTAACATAATTATTTAAACATAATTTTAACATAATTTTTTTATGACCTTTAAATAATTATGTTTTAACATAATTATTTAAAGGTCATAAAAAAATAGCACCTTTTAATTAAAATATACATTCATTACCTTTTAAAATGAAAACTGAAAAGGATCTGGAAAACAGGATTTCATAAGATTCTTTTTGGTTTTAAATAAAACTGTTATTTGAACACACTAGATTAACCTATATATATCAGTTCCTTTCATTGACATGCAATCATTTTAGAGCATTGACATTTGTATAATATAATGCATTATCTTATTCAGATATGAATGCAAATAGTATAGTTGTGATTTATGTGATTACATTTTGTACATGATTTTGAAATAACATGATTGTATTGCATGAATAATAATAAATACATTTTATTATATAAGTAAAATGTAATATATTCTTAGAAGATTAAAGAAGAAAAAAGAACAGAAAATAAATGTTCAAAATTGATTACTAACTCAAGAAATCAAAAGAATAAAATCAAATAGTGATTGATATTTTTATGTTAACCAATATTTTTTTTATTTTATTATCTAAGTAACTTTCAATTGCTTTTTTATAAAAAAAAATCTTAATTTTAATTTATGCATATAAAATAAGCTAAAAAAATTATTATTGTGGTAAATGCCTGTGTGTTTATAGAATCCACTTCTAAAAATTTTAATGTATTTCTATGGCATAATTGATATTAATTTTTGTGAAAGAAACAAATATATAATCTGATATCTATTTTCATAAGTTTTTCTTTATGGAATTTCATTAAAACTATAAAAAGAGATATTTGTTTGTATGAGAAATCAAAAAATATTTCAATTGATAAAATCTACTTCATAGCAGATCTTATTACATGAAAATAGTGTAATGTATTGAGAAGTCTATTAAAATCAACAACAAATTTTTTCAATACGTAATAATTTTTGTAATTACTTTTACAATAAAAAAATCAATACTTTATTATATTACATACTGTATATAAGTATATAATATAAATTAATAAAAACACTATTTTACCATTTAATATTTTTTTAAGTTCTATTCTAGTTAGGTATCTAAAGAAATTATATTCTTATAGTAATTTATTCATTGTTTTAATCAATCCACTAAGCTAAAAATTTAAATTATATTAATGTTAAATTTTGCATAATGTCCACTGGTATCAATGGAAATTCCTGAATCATATGTACTGTACTTTGAAGACTATCTAATATGTAAAGTTACATTGGCCTCACTTGACTCATTCATTCGTTTGTTGACATGAGATGTTTAAATAAAAGCAGACTGCCTATTGAAAAATGAACTAGTGTATCTAAAAGTGGATGTCGAACATATTAGTATAAAAATTGAATTTTTTATCAAATATTTTTGGTCCTATGAGATGTCAAAGTTGGATCATGGACCCCTCATAAAACATAACATCCATTGGATGGTTAATTTAAATGGCACCTGCTTAGTTTTAATTTTTTTTTATTAATTTGTTATTCATTATGTTAAATAGCAGCATTTTCATTTTGTCTTGCCATCAATAATTCTTTATTAGAAAGGGTGATTTAACCACTATGGTTACTCAGCTAAATTAACCAATGCACCTTTAACAATGGGTGATGCTTAAAGAACGCTAATGTTTTTGACTCTGTTAATTGGCTGTCTTCAGACATGAACAGTTGAAAGTGGAATGCCAGTATTTGAAGGAAGAAAACAAGATAACTCTAATAGAGTAAACAAGCAGGAGAGGTGGACTATGAGGAGGGTGGCCAGACGTCTGTTTTTCTACATTTCGTCCCTCCATACTGACAAAGGTTGTTGGGATACTTAAATGTCCTATATTTCTTTATTTTTATATTTACATCGTGATTGGTATATTTCAAGCAATTTTGTTTGATGGTTTTGAGTGATTGTGTTTTTTCATGAAATCAGCTTTGACAACTTCACCTCTATAACCATATTAACTATAACTTCAAACAGTTTTATAAAAATCTCTTCGTAGACTGCATTTCATACCAAAGATCCACTACTCAAAAACCTTATAAACTGCAGCCATATTTATTAGCAAATTCAAACATTTTCAGTCATTTTGAATGACCTTTATCAAAAACAAATGAAATTGAATGCTGACAGATTTGTATTAATGATAAATGAGTTTTGGAACGTTTTAAAAAAATAAAATAAAATAAAATAAAAATTAGTTGATGACAGTAAAGTTATTGTTTATGCTCAACACCAACTGTGTATAACAATTTTTATTGCTTTAGTTTATCTTAGCTTTATTGCTTATAATTCCAAGAATATAAAAGTAAAGTAATTACAGTAAGCACCATTTATTGTGATTACCTATTTACTATTTTGAATTGGTCGCAATCCACTGCATTTTAGTCAGTGAAATCCACTGCATTTTAGTCGTTTCTGAAAATCATACTTTCAGATATTAGATTTAGATAAATTTTAGAAATTTTTGTGTCATTTTGAGGCAGGCGGTGATATATATATTGAAGTGTGAATTTGAGTTAATAAATGAATATTTTAAATAATTATGTAACACATTTTACATAATCTAAATTTTGCAGATTTTCTAGTATTAGTTAGTTAATTTTTTTCCTTGAATTTTATACAATTATCAAAAACAGAGGTTATATGACAAGCAAAACATAACATATTAAAAATTAATTGCATTTTAACTTGTTTTATTTAAAATACATTTTTTGTTAAATCATTGTTTCATTAAAAAAAATATTTTATTAAACAAACTATTGTAATTGCATAATGTTTAATAACCAAAAATTAGCTACAAAATGATGTTTACTTATTATAACTATTTTCTCAAAAGTTTTCCAAAAAAAATTTTAATGTCCTGTGATTGATGTGATTTTTGATGTGAAAGACTGACTGCATCAATTAATTCGTTCTTTATTAGATTTTTAAAATATAGTTATTTAATATGTACTGTATATATAACTAATATTAAAAACTTTTTAAATTGCAACACTGAGACAAATATGAGATCATTGTGAAGCATTAAGTTGACCATTGCAGGCAATTTGGCAGAGTCCCAGCATTCATACCTTAACATATCATTAACATGATAACAATTACATTCAGTCTTATCTTTAAATTTATCTACTACTAGCAGGAATCCATGAAAATTGACAGTTTTATTTAATTAAAATACAGTCAATGAACTCATTTAAAATTTGGTGTTTTACACAAAAATCATCAGTACAGCAAGTGTTTTATCTTTTCTCAGGTACCATGAGGCTTCTTTTAATTCTGCATTTGTGTCCCAAGATAGCAATTCTTAAGACTGATCAACAGCTGGCAGTGCTTCAAATTAATGGTGATGGTTATTTTGCTTAAAAAGCCCAGGACAAGGCAATTATCTTATACTGAGATTCACAAATAAAACTCTTAGACTTACCAAAGTTGGATGTCAGAGTTACAAACCTACCAACAAAAAGAAGAGTAATGTCTTATCTATTTCTATCAAGAGCTTGGATAGTGTCCTAATGATGCATTATATAAATGAGGGTTTGATTAGTGTCAGGCCTGGACTTTATGTGGGTAATAAGTAACAAAAAATTGTTATAGTAATTATTTCAGGTTTTTGATTCTTTATGTAATAACAAAAATCTATTTACATATATAAACATCTCTCAAAACCCTGTTCATTAAAATTATGTTTTAATAGATTGGGTATATAAAATGAATCTGGTGAAAATATAAAATTAAAGTTATAATTGCTGGAAAATAGCCTGATCTCATACAGCAGTTGGTGTGGCTTTATAAAAGTTATTTATTCTTCTAAGCCTGAATATGTACAACAACAAAATAAAGTTAGCAAAAATTTGAAATAATAAAAAGATATTTTATCAAATCAAAAAAAAAAAAAAAACACATACAAGAACTTTCCTGACACTTGGAACTTAAAAATCAAATTATAATTACCTTATAATTATTTCCACAAAACTGACAAGCAAAAATATGAAATTGAAATCTATTGAAAATTCACAGAGAAATCTTACAAATTAAATTTGCCTAATTGTCACCAAGAAACTTTGTTGTCAGTATAACTTGAAAGCCTTGCTTTAACCATGCTCGATTCTTAGCATCACCTCATTTGATCTAGAGTTTCATCTCCTTAGAGTTTCACCTTCATTTGTGGTGGTGATACATGATTATGCCCACTTGACCCTATTTACATACTTAAGTGGCTAACATTCATTCAGTTCTAGTAATCTTTCTTTAAGTAGTGTTCTTACTTTTAATATCTTTTAAAATTTTTTTTTTGTGTCATTTTGTGACAATTTGGGGTGGGAGATCATTCTTTTAACTTCCTGTGGAAGTCCCCCTCCAAGATGTTATTCCAAGTTCGATGACAT